TGTATAATTATGGACGTCGAAATGGGGCTACAGAATTCGTAACTGTGACAAGCCTCGTGATTCTACTATAACCGTTGGGTTAATAACATACTAACGAAAAAAAGGCCACGTCAAGATAGCTTTTTTTAAACTACATTAATTTACTGAAGAATCCCGACGATCAAATGGCATCAGTGAATTCCCATACAAAATTTTCCATTGATTACCACAATGCATACACGTTAGCAAGATTAGCTCTACAAGTGTAATAATGTTTCTGCCATACATAGTCACACCCGCTTTAGCGCCCCTCGTAACTACCTCGCCCAGCCTCGCTTTTTTCCCCCCGGAATTTACACTGTACCTCATGGTAGCCTGCATGAACACACCTCCTGCACTGGAACACAACAATGAGCCAGAGCTTTAGCCTAACAGGATTTTGACTGGGGGTTGCCGTGGTCTCCTCAGCTATATGAGTTGGAATCAATAACTTCGCTTATGGCCTGGCCAGGCATTGTCTCCCCCGGCGCCAGTGTAGCGGGGTGGCCAGGACTGAAGAGGGCGGTGTAGCGAGGTTGCGCCAGTAGGTGTGCTGGTGCTTGTGTGACTGTTGTCGCTGATACCAACTGTGCTGGTTAGTGTTATTGCCACTAGATGCGTCACTGTTTTACTGCTCTCCTTGTCCCCTTGTATATGCTACCTCACGTGATTCTTTCTCGAAAATTGTCAGTCAGGAAAGAATGGGTGGGGAGGATGTCGATGATAATGAGTAGGTTTACTATCGACAATACAAGTTTAGCTTTTAAGGCTGGTTGGTAGGAGCGAGGTGTGGTGGTACTAGCAGGACCTTTTGAATACCGTTTTGTCATAGCAATTCTAGAATGCGTAGGAGCCCCTGCCTTAATATTGCTCTAAAAAGTAACCTGAGGACGCCCAATTAATTAGTCACTGGTATGTCGACTACGTGACACACTTGTGACCCGGTCACGAACCATGCTTCCTTGTTAGGGTCAACACTGTAAATCACCTGTACATTAACAAAAAATATATACACCTCTGAATATATAACTGTTATTCAAGTAGAGAAAAATATTGCTATATATTCGCATATAAATTATCGCAGCCATTGAACAAACCACACATCGTATATACCCTCTTTACAATTTGTTCCCTAATGTAACCACAGACAAGTTTGTTGTTTCACTTCAATATTTCTGATCATACCGAAAACACGAACGAACGTAACCAGTAAAAAAGAAGAGAGAAGATGTATTATTCTTCCTAAGAGCAACAGCAGGGTAGTGGTACGGGCGCGTCCCATCAGACCTTTGTTTGATGAAGTACACAGCGAGGAGCACCATCTGGATGACGCTCTAGCTGTTCTGGCGGCCTACCAACATTCCACTGTCATATTTCCTCGCCGGCTGAACCACCACCTCCTTGGATGGTGCAGCAAGAGCAGCATCTGTGTGTGTATGTGGTCGTACCTAGTCAAAGTTCTCTGATGCGTTCAATTTCAACTGCTGAGCATAAACAAGGAAGGTGAAACCAGCCCGAACTCCACTCCCCACCTATCTACACCCACGCATGATGACTCATCCAGAGTATACGTGGAGCTTTACAACACGCGCGCGAGCACACAGGCATTAAGAAGGGTCAGGAGCTGAGGCTCGACCCCCGCCACCACGAATGAGTACGTATTTGAGTATACACGCAATCACAGCAAGTCACACATTATTCACCATATGGCGAATCAATACAGGAGTTAAGAAGTTTTGTGCAAATGAGGCCTTCGTTCCACAATGTGACTAATATACAAACGACGAAAACTTTTCCACACGTTCAAATTATAGGTTTAACCTTCAGGGAGGCCGATGAGCCCATCCCACTCAACGTCGAGGTTAGACGCAATGTACTTGGTGAAAATAGTTTAATGTCGTTCTTACAAGCCTCCAACCACTTTTTGCAAGCGTCATGGAATGCCAATGAAGAGGTCAAATGTCACCCACTGAAACTTCTTTTCCGTAAAAAATGCTACTCTAACACTACATTGCCTAATGTGATTGGCACAGTTCTCTTGTTAATGGTGAATGCCTCGTGATTACAATATTAATGACAAATGGAAATAAGCAATGTTTGGCTTTACTGGGTCATCCTTGGTTAAATCTACATAAAAGTATTTTTAAGATGGCTATGGCATGTATTCCCTTCAATACCATTATAAAAATTGTTTGTGCTATATATACAAAACCTAAATAAAAATTACTCAAAAAATGTACATAAGCATACAGAGCTCGTTCTGAAATTTAATATCGTGCAGTGGTCTTCGAAAATTACGTAATTACCTGCTTTTAACTGTGGTACCAATATCTGTGTACCTGGAGGTTATTCCGGGGATCAACGCCCCCGCGGCCCGGTCCATGACCAGGCCTCCCGATGGATCAGGGCCTGATCAACTAGGCTGTTACTGCTGGCCGCACGCAGTCCAACGTACGAGCCACAGCCCGGCTGATCCGGCACTGACTTTAGGTATCTGTCCAGCTCTTTCTTGAAGGCAGCCAGGGGTTTATTGGCAATTCCCCTAATGTCTTGATGGGAGGCTGTTGAACAGTTTTGGGCCCGGCGTATGAACACACGTTAATCTCTATTGTAGGGATTAATGTATTTTCACTGATGATGCACAAGTGAAATGCAGCCTGAATGACTCTTGCATTAGATAGCCTTTAAACATAAACCGGAACCAAGGCAAAGGATGACGTAATTAGCCTTCATTGCTTCTTTACCTATAAAGACATAGAACCTAAAACACAATATGAATGTGCAATTCGCATCTTCATCAAGCAACTGACAAGCATGCGATAGGTGCAGGAAAGTAATGCTGGCGACCTACACTGTACTAAACCAGTCACACAGATTTTAGTCTATGTGGGAACACACTACCCCTCGCTCTGTGCACACGGACTGGAGGGGAGGGAGGAGGGAAAGAGTGCAGTTTAGCTTGTAGTGGAGTTGAGAACACCACACGACCCCACTCGCCTTGAATTCACAAACATTATGTCAGTTCCAGGCTGAGTTGATGACATCAGCTGTTTGGTACAACTTTCAAATGTTTCTTATGCATACATATGGTGCTAAACTTAAAGTATTCAGTATGCTGTACTCTTTTAAAATGAAAAAAAATATTACACACATACACACACACATATTATATATATATATATATATATATATATATATATATATATATATATATATATATATATATATATATATATATATATATAATATATATTATGTTATAAAGGCCTACCAAACCTATGGCTAACAAACTAAAACATAATACCAGTAATAGCATAAGAAAAACTATAAGAAAAATGGCAGCATTAGCGTGTGACAGGTTTTAGAGTGGGCGCGCCAAGAGCAGTCTCCCCCAGCTGCCTCTCGCCCGCCATCCCTCCTTCCCAAGCGAGAACCATCATGGTGTCGGGCCCCGAAAATTCCTCACCCAACATGGCCGTGCGCATCTCGGTCCTCATTTTTCCCAGCAACCCGCATCACCCACCACCACTGCCGCCGCCGCCACCTACTCCGCCTCTTCCAACCCAAGCCGTCCTAACCCCCACTCTCTCTCAACGCCCAGCCACCCAGCCCCTGGTCCACCACCCGGCCAACCAACCCACCTTTGTTACTACAGGGACTGCTGGCGTCCTAGTACATGGGACCTCAACGGATGCTCAAACGCTTCCTGGCAGTGTACGCAACTACCATCGCCCTTAAGGAACTGCAGACTCTGAGGTACTTCGACTGCCCGAGCCCGAGCCGGATAGTCTTATACACCCGCTACCTTGTGGAGGTGTTACCCGCAGTTGGTGCCCCAATGCAAGTATTGTCATATGTATGATACAAAATATAACCCTAATGAAAATAAAGTATAATGACTTTCTTGGGTTATCCTTCCTTAAAACCTTTCCTCATTGTAAGTTTATCTAGATTGTATAACAATGTAAACACTAAGGAAAAAACTGCACCAATGATTTTAACCTAAACGAATTTAAGTATATAACTAACAAAGGTTAATGCAGCTGCTGCCCTTGCTGTTGCTGCTGCATTAGGACACAATTCTCAACCTACCAGTCCTCACGTCAATCACTGCGGGTACTACGAGTATAAACACTATATTTAATATTCGTGCATTTTCTTCAAGGTGCCTTGATAATGAAGGATTCTTGATCCAAGGAAGTGGAGCTACTATCCTCTTCCTTGGATCAAACCTAATTGCCTCCCACCTCCCATTCCCCAGGCGCTCTTAACTCCCACGAACACAATTCGACTGCTTTCCCGTATTTAAATTTATTAAAATTATTGTCGAGCACTAATCTACACTAAACTTCAACTATGTTGTTGGATAACCCGTGATTATATTTTATTAAGTCATCTAGTTACCACCTGGGTAACTATAAATCTATTTACTTCTATGTATATATATATATATATATATATATATATATATATATATATATATATAATGTATATATGTGTGTGTATTTGCTACTTTTTTAAATCAAAACCCATTCTGTAAGTTGTAGTGCAACGTTGTAGTTACAGATCCAGGAAATGTATCCTAATCACATCTCAACAGTTATATGCACCAAGATGCATACTGCATATCTGCAGATATATACTTGAATGTATAATTTAATCCTAAACACTACTCTAATTTTAATTACAGCGAGTAACATATGCTGGATGGTAGTATCTAGGTGGATTACGGCCTTAAGGAATCTTATGTAAGTTGTACATTAAACCCAGCAGCGCTGTATAGCCCTTGTGGTTTAGCGCTTCTTTTTTATTATAATAATAATATACATTAAACCCGACAAACCAACATCATAAGATTTTCACTTTCCAATTTGACCTTTCTCCCGTACCTCACTACTCACTCTTCGTACTGGAGGCTGAAAATAAAATAAAATAAAATAAAAACATGATAATTACACAGTACAAAAAACAATGACACTTACCTCTTTCATATCCGTAGCGACGCCGTAAAATCCAGTTGTGTTGTCTTGTGAATGATAAGTTCCATTCTCAGAGCACTTAGGTTAAAAAAAATCACTTCAAGTAATGCCAATACATTTTTTTCTTTCCAATTCACCTCATTAATTTTCACTATTCAACGTGGCACTTTCGGTTTTGTTGCGAGTTGCACAATTGCAGTGGCAGAGCAGCGATGCGTTCCACATTAGTCCATCTTCACACTGTAACGCACACTCACTAAGGCCTTTAATTACTCCACGTAAACACAGGTGCCTCTCTCTATCTCTTTCCTCCTGCTATATAACACCACTTCACTATTCAGCTCTCCAGAATGAGCTTCATTTGGCTAGAGATAACACGGTGGAATGACAAGGCTTCCAGGGCAGGAAGTTACACAATGGAGGCGCCAGAGTTATGAGAACTTCCACATCAGTCGATCTCTGCACACACTAGAATCTTGATGAAGTGAACAAACTTTTTTCAATTTTATATATAACTGCAGGGAGGGGGAAGAAAGGTTGGATAACGAAGTGTAATATCGGACAAATCCAATGTATTACGCCAACAAGCAAACTGCCTCCAGGTACAACGGGTAGTTATTATACCTTTAATATAATGAAGAGGGGCGAGGATGGAGAGTGTAGTGTGTGTGGTGGAGGAGCTGCCGTTGGCAGAAGCACCCCACAAGTAGGTAATGCCATGGCGACAACACGACGTCAATACACCAGGCTGGGACCCCACTACCACCCTCCTGCTGCTGCTGCTGCTGCTGCTGCTGCTGCTGCCGCCGCCGCCGCCGCCACCATCGCTCCTGCTGCTGATGCACTCACCCCGCACCATCACGCTCAGGAAGGAAAAAAACTATTCCCCGCCCGCCACCCCCCTTCCCTACAAACACACGAGCTGGCGCATTTCACACTGACCATTTTTCAACTCAAACTAATTTTTACGGTGTAAAATTAACGTCAGACGAAACTGGGACCTAGCATTTCATCTACTGTCCATTTTAACAAAGCACACACACACAAAAAATACAAACGAAATAACTGATATTACTACATGCAACGGTGTCTTTTACCTATCCTCGCAGAATAGCTCATGCCTCAATTAAGTGTACCCACAGATGGACAACTATTATATTCAACACTATTAATATTTAAAGCTAAACTCACTAATAACACGTTATCCGACGACTTTGGATACAGCGACAGCAAGACAGCAAGGGTAGGTAGAGATGAGGTACACGAGCCCGGCGAGCATGACCCAATAATTACATAGCTGACGCCAGCTAGGGAAAAGTGGTGTGTGAGGCGGAAACTGAGGCTATAGTCTGGGTTACCTGTCACCCACCGCGGAGCCTCACCGCCCTACAACACTTTATCCTCCTTTCCCCTTCCACAATTTGGACGTTATCTCGTGCTCCCTGTATAGCTGCTCTCAAAAGTGTTATCGTGCAGTGGGTAATGATGTTGCTCAGAGCGCTGTGGTGGCGTTGATAACCCTGCCTCCCTCCCACTCCCTCTCCCCTGAAATTACAAGATAGCACACACACCACACCACATGATATCGAGTAACAACAATGTTGACCCCGCTGGCTCGGTGGCCAGCAAATTTGCTTTTGCTAATTTGGTGCACATTTCACTGCTTCTGGTTCAAATGAAGTTCCAAAGGTGATCTAATAACTACACCCCAACGGATATAAGTCACTTTGTCTGACTTTTATGGGTTATCCTAGGTAATCTACATATATGCTGCTATATATGATAATTTATGTAAATGTATTTATGTGTACCTGTACATAAATAAACTTACTTAACATTTTAAGTCAAGGTAAACAGCATGCGTTCTTCAAGGGGTTACCATGATACCGGTTGTTTTAAAGGACTTTGATCCAATAAACTGGTTCTACCCTTCCCTTCTTAAGACAAACCCTGAATACCTCCTATTCCATATGAATATAATAAGAATAAACATACTTGGCAGTGGGGTGCATAAGAACCCATGCCAAAGTGGACTTCAATAATAGGAAACACCCCTTTCCCCCTGCCAACCTTACAAAGGAGAGTGGCAGACTGACATGCTTAGAAAAGTAACAAGGGGAAAATATACGGGGGTTAAAACCACAGATGTAACACAGGGATGTAAAGAAATACTTTCTTATCTGAGGGCAGCAGAGAATTGGTATGAACTGAATGTAAAATGACAGAAGCAACTTTCATACAGTATTATGAGGCCAGGAATCAGTAATGCCAGTCGATGAAACTTAAAATGGCTAGACCAAGAGCCAAAACTTGAGCCATTCAAACACAAATAAGGGAGTACAAAAGCGAACAAAAACAAACACGTGTTGCACGAGACGTACTATTTATGTAAAAATACACAGTTCACGCATACTCTCTCTTTCTTTCTTTCTCTCTCTCTCTCTCTCTCCTCTCTCTCTCCTCTCTCTCCCCTCTCTTCTTTCTCTCCTCTCTCTCTCTTCTTTCTCTTCTCTCGCTCTCTGTCTTTCCGTGTGGAATTACTAACACACTAAATCTCACATTGTCATTTGAAATTAAATAGCAAAATCAAAGTTGATTAAAAACTAGAAGAAAAACACATGGCACAGATTATTTAACATCAGTGATGTCTTGAGACGCAACGTAAGGCAAGCAAGCATACTCTTCCCTTCATTGGCTTGATGCCAATGTATGGAATGAGTTTCGAGAGTTCTTCTACTCCCAGAGCCCGGCCTTGATCCAGGCTTGTCTGGTGTTTTCCTGGTCAACCACACTTGCTGCTGGCAGCCTGCTGGCCCACATATCCTTCACAGCCTGAGTGATCGGGCACCTGATGGAGATACTTGTCTAGTTTCCTTTTGAAGACTTTTACATTTGTCCCGGCAGTGTTTCTTGAATTGGAACAACTTTCCCTTTGATTACCTACTATTTCCAAGATGGAGGATGGACCTTACGGATTTAGCGCTTCTTCATTAACAAAATATTAAAAGTATAATAACCTCCTTCCCAAAAGGGAGCCGAGACACTGAATAAAGTTGGCAAAAATGCAATACCACTCTCACTCTCACTGTTCCATCTCACTCAGTCTTTTCCCTTCAACCTACTTTACTCCTTCCCTATCCATCCCTCTCACCCTACCGCAATTCCTTCCACCCCACTATCCCTTCCACCCCCATCCTACTTTTCCCCCCACCCCCCTCCCAATCCCACTTTCCCTTCACCCCCCTTCCCAAACCACTTTCCCCTTTCCCCCCTCCCAATCCCACTTTCCTTCACTCCCCCTCCCAATCCTACTATCCCTTTCTTTCCCTACCCCATCCCACTATCCCCCTTCTCATCATCACACTAGTCCTACTTCCCATCCCCACTTCACCTCTCACGTTCCTCACTCCACTCTATCCTAATCCATCCCTTCCTCCCGACCCACCTTCCCTCACCCTTTCCCCTTATCCTCCCTTTTCCCCCCCACGTCCATCTATCCCCTTTTTTTCCCATCACACTCTATCCCCTTCCCCATCCCATCCAATTATCCTAGAAGTGACCCCATCAAAACAACCACCCCGATTAGGTTAGAAAAGCCCGTTATTAGTGAGATCATATCCTTTTAGAGTTTCGGTCCCTTTTTACTTCCGGGGGCCCCGGCCATGGGCCCCCCGGCTCGTCTAGGATTTAACTACGGCCATTTTTAAAGACAGGGTGCAGGGACAAAATACACACAAGATGTAAACAGAGCCAAATACTGTATAAAAATACAAAAATAAAAAGAGATCAAAAAGAGCAAAACATACACAAAGGATAGATAAAGATATAAAAGGAACAGAAAAAAGGGAACAGGAAAAAACACACCCAAAACACAAAAAAAGGGGGCATACACCAACACAGAAGCAAAATACAAGAAAACAGACACACAAGAGGGCGGTAAACGAGCGAAGTAAACAAAGCAACAGACACACAAGCAAACTACCCTCACTGTAAGTGAACAATCAAGGGTTTTTCAGGCTTCCAGAACATAAGAAATAAGAACAAAGAACGAAGGAAAAACCCGCAGAAGGCCTTGGCCCATGCGAGGGAGGGCCAGTCTCCCACCGGGTTAAAACCAATGCACCCAACCTAGCAGGTCAGGGGCACATTACTTAAGGGAGGAACAAAGGCAACCGACCCCGGTAGCACAAGCTTTAGGGCTAATCACACCCCCCACTCACTCATGAAAAAAAAAATTTCCAACCTATTTTTAAAGCACAAACGTTTGGCCTCTATAACGGTATTGGGGTTTGTTCCCCCCATCCACAACTCTATTACCAAACCAGTACTTTCCCAACTTCCTGGGGTCTGAATTTTTCCAAATTAAAAAACCCTTGCTGCAGTCCTGTCTAGGCTAGATATTTTTAGCACATATTTACATCCCCCTTTTTTTAGCCCAAAACACCCAATCATATCCCCCCTAATTTTACGTCTTTCTAGAGAGTGCAGATTTAGGGCCCTTTTCTATCTCAAGGGAAGGTTTCTGATACATGGGGTCAACTTTGTCATCCTCCTTTGTACATTTTCCCGAGAATTTTTTCCATTCTGTAATAAGGGGACCAAAACTGTGCAGCATAATCTAAATGAGGCCAACCCAAGGTGTATAGAGGGTTTAAGAACAACCCGAGGGTCCTATTATTTATGCTTCTTGATTGAAGCCCAAGGATTCTATTAGCTTTAAATTTCGAAAAACTTTGCACTGTTGTTTGGTTTCAGATTTCTGCTAACCAGAACTCCCAAAAACTTTTTCGCAATCCGTAATATTAAGACTCATTATTTAGTTTATAGTGGGATGGTTATTGTCCTGTCCAACATTGAAATTTCATTTGTCTATATTAAACTGCATCTGCCATTCTCCGACCATGCATCGTCTATTCAAATTTCCGGGGGTGTCGAATGTCCCCGTCGAATGAATTTGACGGCCCATTTTGGTGCATCGGAAAATTTCCGATGTCGCTCTTTATGCCCCCTATTCGTTTAGTAGTTGTGAACAGAGGGGCCCCAAAACGACCCTTGGGCCCGCTCGTGACCTTTTCCCCCCTTGATTTCTCCCCCCCTTTATGCAAAATCTTGCTGCCTATTTGTAACCATGCCCCTTATCCAGGAAAAAAAATTTTCCTCCTATTCCTGTGCTTTAAATTTTCCCCAATAGTCTCTGAGTGGGGGCCCTGTCAAAAGCCTTTCTGAAAGTCCATATACACAAATATATTCTTCCTGATCTACCCCCTCAAATACCTTTGTGAAAAAAATTAATAAATTCGTAAGGCAGGAATCGCCCTTTGTAAAACCATGCTGAGATTCGTTGATTAATTTATGCTTTTCAAGGTGGCTACGAACTGCCTCGCAATTATTGATTCCATAAATTTTCCCACTATGGAGGTTAGGCTTATTGGTCTATAGTTCGAAGCTAAGGACCTGTCACCTGTTTTGAAAATAGGTATCACATTTGCCATTTTCCACTTATCTGGCACCATGC